ACATTTTTTCTTTTCTCTCTTCTACAGAGAAACATAAATAAACGTATGTTTTTAAAGCAATATATTATTTAACTTTGTATTTGCCTCGAAACGAAATACCAAAATTAATGATGTATCATACCGATAAAAACATTTGAAAGCCACAGTAGAAACAGAAATACCAGACGAACTTCCCTTCATCCGATATATCCGGCACATACCACACACACAAGTATGACCCACATGCAAACGGTGCCGACAGTAGAATCCTAGAAGATAAAATATGCCTCACTCGATAGTATCTAGATAAACAACTTTCACTATAGCTATGTTTTCACCAAATTTTCATATGAATACGCGAAAAAAAAATCCCATATAAAAAAGTGTTTGCTAACTGTTAAACTCTTCCGAAAATTGTTATATTTAACTATGTTTTTATCATATGAAGTTTCGTGAAAATATATTTAGTACTTTTTGCGTTATCACAGGATCCAGTTTTTGTGGACAGACAGACGGACGGTCAGCCATACGGACTGAGGGAAAACCTAGTCTGCTAGGAGACTAACTACTACATATGATCAACAAAATCAAAAACAAATGTTAAAAGCTGTGACACACCCCACGTCTTTTATTTTTAATTGATTTTGATATTAATGCACACAGTCGTAGAATTTTTAAGTTTTAGACCTTCAAATGAATCAGAATCATGTGCTATTGAACATTATTCTTTTTATTATTATATATAAATATTTAGACAGCCGAGCGTTATTACTTTTTTCTGAATATGACAAACGTATGTAATTATATTACGTACAATTTTTTTCACATCCCTTGCTGTGAATATAGTTTATTTTGATTAAGATATGTTATGTTTGTATCTTAATTAATGCCATAATAAACAAATTGGTAAACTGCGAATTTTGTTTTTAAAACGCCGTGCCGTAATAATTAGCATGAGAAGTACACGTAATTTGACCTTTAATATGATCAATCCTATGTCTGACATAAAAACATATCTTGATCTTTCATAAAGTACATACCATGGTCTAAACTTTCCAAACCGCGTGTCAGTTTTATGAACAAGATATCCGCACGTAGGATCAGTAATGGCATCCCATGCTTTTCCAGCAAATAATATTATGGACGCATACCCTGGTGGTATCTACAAAAACAATACAAAAACATTGAATAAATTTTTTTTATCTTCTTAGTGCACGAGATAATGTAGGAGAACTGCGTTGCACATCTCAGAAATATCACTGTGTGCTATAAAGTAATAACTTCTAACACTGGAAAACATTTATATATACATGAACAACATGTGTTTATGTTGTATTATAGTATCTGTGTTATAATATTGAATTGTAACAAATCTATTTGAACAAACCACGTCCTTTTAGACCCTGAACCGACACATTGAAATATGAACTGCTATATTTTGAAAAGAACGAATTGATTAAAAACATTAAGGAATAAGATTATTTGAATTAACCGATAATAGATAAGATTTAATTATGTTAAATGAACTGTTGAACATAAATCGAAAATTTAAAGATAAATAAAATACATAGACAACAAATAAACATCGTATTTTAATTCCTTTAAAATATCATCATTTATTTTACCTTTGCAACTTCTAGGAGGAATATCGATATAAAGAAATTGATCACAGTATTTGTCGTTTGGTAAGGAGCGCCGCCTACAGCGAAACATATTTTTCTCCAGACCGGAAGTGGTTTAACAGTTTCAATCGTACCAGTCTGCTCTATTTCCACCAAAGGTTTGTTGTCATCATCAATATCACCAATGTTCTAGAGAATGAAAAACCCCAAAAGTCATTTGCTATCACTTTTCTGTCGATTTATGGCGGCATGCAATTTTTATGATTTAATTTGATTATCGTAACACAGGGTCAAGTTTGTCCATGGGAATCACTAACTGGGGTACCTTGTGACGTTATCACTATAGTTGTTCCTGGACCGCAGGGTATTTGTACGCGTTTAACTTTTGAGGCATGGAGGAGCACGTGACCTGTTTTCGGTACATGGAGGAGCATGTGATCTGTAAACCGTACATGATTGGTTAATTGACTTTTCGAAAACCTGGCTAAATACCGTTTGCCGTTACGGATTTACCTCTAGGGAATTAGTCAGAGTGACACCTAATTAAGAACAAAAAAACTATTACGTGATATTTCTAACTTTACCGTTTAAGGTGGTAAAACTTGAATGATGTGTTTGAAAATTATCAATGTTTCTTTAATATGTATCTCAAATTTTACAAACACTGAAAATCTACAAAATTAAAATATTCGTAGTGGCATCTGCTAGAATAAATAGAGATATTTTCTGCGTAAACTTGTGTGTTTACTTTTTTTTTGCTCGGAATTATTCATAAAATGGTAGGCCTATTTAATCATTTTCTTAAAAAGAAATAATTGTTTTATGTTCGACCTTCTCCGGTCATCAACGGTCACCAGTCTTCTATATTGATCGATTTCCTGATAAAACCGCGCGTTTATTTATTCCCCCCAAACAATGTTGAAAATAGTTAAATGAAATATCTTTATATCATTAAAAATGTTCCCTGCAGGAAACCATTTTACTTGTTACACACTTGTAATGATTCCAATATTTTTTTCGTTGCTCAGTATCAAAATTCTCGCTGTTTAAGAACAAATAAAGTAGGTATTCATCCATTAAAAAGACAGAATCGATTTCCACTGTCACTTTGACCAACATTAAACAAACAATCAGATATTTAATAACAACCGCGCCTCATCAGCAAAAAGTGTAATAATACTATACATGTATACACTTACCGGTTCGTACTGATCAGCCATCTTGTTTTCATTTGGTATTCCAAATATGTTTGTATTGGTTAACTAAATCAAACTTCATTTATGCTGGTTTCACATATATCTTACAATTCGTCCCATATAAACTATTTTTTTAATAAATAATGAAAACAATATCTGTACGATAAATTTTCCGGCTATGTATACTGTATATTGATATATACTGGTTATGTCACGTTGTGTTATCATATATAAACAAAGATTTCATATATAATGATAACCACTAATAAATATACAATTACAGTTGTTATTATAACATTATAAAGTAGATCTACTGAAACTTTTATCTAATCATATATTGAAGCAAAGAACAAAGTTTATATGACTTAAGTTATATTTAGAAAAATTACTCATCCATGTTTTCAAAATAGCATATATCACTTAAAAGTATATGTGGGTTATACTGACCGGGTCATATAACCTATCAGAAATCTTTATAACCAATTATTTTATAAGGATTAATTAACGCATGAGTTTAAATTGATATACAAAACATATTTTATAAGGTTTATAGTCCAGTTTCAGGTGACTTACGCTTTTGAGATTTTCTAGATAATTTATTCAAAGTATGACAATAAACATACTGCATAACAAAAGAACTTCAGAACTTCTTTCTTGTTTCTTAATAAGATACAAAGGTAGTTAATAGCTAAACTATGATTTTTTTTCCACAAATAAACATAGGTTCGTTAAAAAAAGTTCATAACGGTCAGCAAGAGGAAGAATTACTTTTGATTTTTGTGTACATTGTTTAAACTGAGCTTATATGTAGTTTTTCAATAAATGACTGAGCAATATAAGGGATAAAGATCAATGTAAAATTCTTTGCAATTTATAAAATGTACAATGAGCAACTGAGATCTTGAAACTCGAGACCAAGTTTAATAACCCCGAGGCCAGTACAATGTCACATGTGGAATGCTAACCATGGTTTGAGCCTTTAAATGCGGTTTATGCCTTCACTTGTGTATATTTGTATGAACACTTGTGCTACATACACGTTCATGATACGCTAAAACAAAGTAATTAACTTTAAAAAATATATTGTGAGAGTAAGCATATTGAGAGCTAGCCGGTAGTTCTGGCATGGTTACTGTCACATAGGCACGGCGCAGCAAATATAACGGCAGATTCTGACACGTCTCATTCTGTGGTATTTTACAAACAATATTTCTAATTTTCATGGTTGGCAATACGGTATTTCAAATAATATTCTTATTGCCTTGCAGTAAATATTTATCAAATGAAATACATGTTTCATTAAACCTTAAAATACAATGTAGATCAGAAATAACTAGTAAAAGAGAAAAGCATTCACTCTAATCTTTTCTTCTTTTCTAAATATTTTAAAAAGTACAAATAAATCTATCAAATTAATTCCAGTAAAACTTTCTTATATATATTATTTGTGAAAATAAAATCTAGCTTATTTCGACATTCCGTATATAAATTGTCCACAATGAAACATAGTGATATATATAGTATAAGCTCCAACGAGACACCAATCAACACGTCTTATCAAGTGAAGTAAATTGATACTCGTCGCTCCCTTTCTTGCCGTTACATTTTGCTTATAAATTTCGCGTGACTTTTTCTCTTTTAATATTTTAATAACACATGTCAGAAAGAGTTGGTTAAATGCTGCAATTATACAGTCATGCCAGCTTACAAAGCCGTATTCTTCATCAGTCTCTATATATATATACAAATAATTTCTTATTTTCAGCAATCAGCAAGGTTAGTGTAAAATTTCTAGAACATGAGAATGCAAAACGAACATTCAGACAGAGTAGATGGTGGTGGTATTTATCATCCGGATCACGGCGGCACACGACAGTAAGCCACTTTGAATCCACTAGAGCACAGTTTAGGCACCATGTCGTTCCTAGGCAAGCTGTCAAACAGTTTACCAGTACTAAACAACGTCACTAGAGCAAGGAACTGATAACTATTATACATGTCGAATGAGCGTGGAAAGGATTTCATTATATATCAGAACGAAAGTGACCTGTACCGTTCAGGAATCGCCCACTTCACAGTTCAGTGCTCTACCTATTGAGCTAACCGAACGATTAGATAGTACAGATTTATATAAAGCGACCCGTGGTTCGAGTCCTAGTTGCGGCTTTCCGATTTTTCGTGCAATTTTATACATTAATTGTTTTTTCATGCATAATAAATGGGATGAAATAGAGTACACCAGTCATAGTAACTCGGCAAATCTTTAACATCAATACAAATCTTTAACATCAATACAAAACAACTACAGGAATAGTGCGCATAAACATCAAAACTGATTTTTTTTCATAGAAAAAAAAAGCACATTCCAAATAAATAAAGAAAACATTTTGAAATACTTTATATCAATACTACGATATATAATCAAATGCATGTACAGGCAGTAACTTCTCAACTATAACCAACTACTCTCACACTTTCATTTGAGTTCCCTTGTATTTTTTCTTCATGTTGTCTTTTACAAAATGATAATTTATAATCAAAATTGTAATTCATTATTTACTGTAATAACTATAGTTATGTGTGTACCCTACATTACATTGCTTATAAATGTAAATGATGCTGAAGCTGTTTTCCTTTAAGAACACTTTTTTATTTATTTATTTATTTATACATGTATTACAATATTTCCCATATAAATTTAGTGAGTTTTATTATTTTGGCAAGATTCATAAAATATGATATATTCATTGACTCAAAAAGAAGACAAGACTAACAGTTAACAGGAGGTAAATTAACTATATATAAAGGACAGAGATATCCTCTGCTACAGTAGAATACTGGAACTGATAACTGATTATAACAATCATAATTTATAACAATCTGGTTATAACTGATAACATGTGAGATGTTACACCTCAAAATATAATCATTTATACCAAGTTATTTTTAAAAAAAAGTTTTATAAGTTAAAAAATATCAAGCAGACCTGAAATGTTGACGTTTTACATTAGACCATTAAGAGTAACCTTGACCTTGAGTGTAGTGACCTTCTTGTTGCACTTTGCACATTCTCTCATAATGGTGATCATTTGTGCCAAATTGTTTTAAAAACTTTTCATCAGTTAAAAAGTTATAAAGTGGTCAGGAAATATTGGCCTTTTACATTTGACCTTTAACATTGACATTGACCATGGGTGTAGCAACCTGGTTGTTATGTTCTGCACATCATCTCATAATGGTGATCATTTGTGCCAAGATTTTTTAAAAACTTTACATCAGTTAAAAGATCATGATGCACAAATGAAAATGTCAGAGACAAACATATTGAGAGACAAACGGACAGACACCATTCCTATTACCCCTTCCCCACTATGCAGCAGGGGATTTTATGTTAATGAATGATTACCCTACAAATACATTTTCCTTGTATTTGTCAGCACAAAACATATTGCATTTGATAAAAACAAATAAAACATATGTATGTTGTTTGTTGTGTAACTTGTGTTAGTGTCAAATTGTCAAACAAACTTTTTAAGAATTTAAAATGACGTGATCTTTCTTTAGTAAATTTTGTCTCCGATACTGAGAATAAGGAAGCATTTTTTTTTAGAAAAAGATAACATTACAATTTTTCCTTCTAATGAAGGTATTCTTGGATCTAATGAAGCTGCTCTTGGAATACGTTTTGCAACTGATGGATATATTTACCATTGATTACCAACAGAAAGTTTATCATGGGTATAAAACAATAAAACACAAAATATGGCAACTAAAATGTTTTGCACACTGTATGTCTAAAATACCATCTCTCCAAAACTTTTAGTGTACATTTTCACAGTTATAAAGTAATAAATAAAGTATCACAATCAGATTTGCATAAATCAAAGTTTATAAATTAATGATGAAAAATCATAAATTTTGTTATACAATTGATATCATAAAATAATATTGTCTCATAAATTGAGTAACTAGGAGAGGCCCTGTGGACATTTGTAATGAATCAATGATTTTGTCTGGTCTTGAAGAAGCATGGTTTTCAAATGTAAGATAGCTGGATTACCTACCACATGTAAAGTATGATGTTTATGTCAGATTTTTTTCCATACCATTGCTGTTGCTGTTATGTTTCTAAAAATTCTTGTACTTTTATGATGTACAATGTAAACAGCTACTTTCAGTGTTTGTTTATCATATATTATTTTCCTAAGCTTTGTTAAATAAATGCCTCAAGTATATATTACAAAAAGAGACATATTTTTGGATAACCCTTAAGGGAAACTTTACCAAAATGAAAAAGTAAAATTTCAGACTTAAAATAGGAATTACATCATATTAAAAGTAAACAATAAATATGAACATGCCTAAAAACACATGTAATAAATAAAATGTGAATGGAAAAAAAGAGGTCAAAAACAAAGTTTTAAAGAAACAATTAGTTAAACAAATTTCTTAGATATACTCTAACATGGAGATTTTGTAACTAAATCAATCAAATTCACAATGAAATTGTAAGAATTCTTCATGCACTGTCTTCCAATGGTACAAAAATTACTATTATAAATATGTCACCAGCAGAGAAATAAATGATAACCTTTAAACTTCTCACATATAATACATTCACGTGTCCTTTACAATCAAAATATATGTAATACTCATACTGTTGGTTTGATGATATCTCACATGTTGTAACAACATGCTACAATCAAATGCTCACTCTCACTATACACCATGCATGTGGTCAATATGAACATCAACATTAACCCAGGATGTGTTTACTTGGTTAAGTTGAGAGATATACATCTTTTTATATAACACCTTATAACATCAAACAAATAAAACATGACTTGTGCATTTTTCTAAAGTAAAATAGAAAAGGGAGCATATTCTGCAAAATTGCTTAGCAGTTTACCTGCCCTTTTAAGTCAACAATTTTTACAAATGTGAAGTGAATACATTTAAATATTAGAGAAAATGGCAAATATTCTGAAAAAAGAGGGAATAAATTAGCAAAATAAATGGCTCTTCAGCATAATCTGCCACTATAAAATGCAATCCAAATTTTATAGTGGACAAGTGCTTCAGGTTTAAAGTCAATATCTTTAATAGTTTTCGAGAAATATACCTTACCAAAAAGGTTAATAAAAATTTCAAAGTAAAAATACCCACAAATAACTTATAATGTTAGCTTCCCTTTAGAAGTACTTGCTTATTTTAAATTTGAAAAAGTATCAAAATTGAACTTATTAACTTTGACAATCTTTTAGAAATTGACCTTAAAACAACAAAAAATAAGGTAAAAAGGAGCATAACTTTGCAAAAATGAATTTTAGAATCATCTGCCTTTCTGAAATAGTGTCATATTTTGAAAATGATCTTGTATACTTCGTTTGAGATAGTTTCAGAGACAATAGACCTTAGCAAAAAGGTTTACCAAGTAAAAAGAATATAAGTTTTAAAAGAGGAACAACTTAGCTATTTTTAGATAAGAAAAGGTTAACCCATGCCAACACTGACAAGTGCAGATCATAATCATACTTTGGAAGCAGAGCTTTCACACAAACAAAATTGTTGAAGGAAAAATAAATGATTTTATTAAAGCATTAACTGGAGTCTCTACATTCAAGGACCATATTTCTAAATCTTTGTGCTGAACCAGGTCTTGGAGTTGTAGGTTTAGCTGATGAAGGAGGTGATGGCATCATATGAACATCTGTGGCATCACCTGTCTTTCCCTTTGATAGTGTTACAACAGCTTCTAATTTCCGTTTATTGTAAACTTGGTCTGTATTGGACACTTCCCTTATATTATCACCACTTAAACTTTCAGTATACTCCCCTTTGTATGAATTTGTACAGTTTTGCCTTAATCTAGAGCTAGCACTTCCACTGCCTGTCCTTTTTATATATGAAGTACTTTCACTGAAAGTGTGAGGTGATCTAAGTCTATCATTAGTTTTATGAAGATGATGATCATTTTGTATACCATGTTGAGTTGTAAGAGTTTTAGCCTTGCCTACAGAGTCTCTTCTGACAGGACCAGATGTCTGTGGTTCTGGTGAAACAAAAGCTTTCATTGGTCCAGCTTTCACTAACTTGGATGAAGCAGTTTTGGGACTTGATAATGATTTCAATTTGTTACCAGGAGAGACATGTGAACCCAGTTTGCTGTAAAAAAAATATATTAAATAAATTAGAAACATTTTATTTAAATACACAGAACATATATCTGAATGCAATTAAATCATTTGTACGTCTTTATGAGTTAAAAGACAAAGCTCTGATAACCCATTGAAAACATTTCTTACATAAAACAATAGGTTATTGATTTTGTAGGAAATTCATTTAATATTATTCTATGATCTATGAAAGACACAATCTATATCAACAAACATTTGTGATAAATAGTTTCATTACCTCATATATCATTCTTTCAAGCATAAATGTGACTGGATAAAAATTAACACAAATGTTTAAAGGTCCATTATGCCTCAGAGGAAAATGTTTATATTTGGTTTCTAGTTACAGTTACTTATTTGCTACATACATGAACAATCTTTTACATCTTTAGCTCTGTTGACAGTTGGTATAATTGAATAAGTGAATACCATCAGTATTTAACTTCTGGATGACAAATGGCTAACTACTCACGGTATAGAGCTACACTAAACCTTCATGTCTGGTGAAATATACTCACTTGATCAGTGATGTTGGAGTGAACGCTGGTTTTAGCAAAGGTGGTGAAGACTGTGATGTCATATTGGACAATAAATCTTTCTCTAGTGTGCTTCTCTCTTCCTTTAATTCTTTAATAGAACAATCATATTAAAATTAGGAAACTTTATACCCTCTGTCTATATATCATATACAAGAATCTAATATTATTAGAAGGTAAAAATTTGTCCCTCATAAATAAGCAAATACCTATTTACTTTAACAATTATTTTTTTTTTTCAAAATGAGAAAAGTCTAAGTAAATCAAACAGAAAATACTATCATTCATAATAAATTTAAAAAAACTTAGCAAATCAAACAATAGATAATTATTTTAATTCATCATAACAGGAATAGCTGTCCGATGAGCAGCCCACTCCATTTTTCCTAGTTCTTGATATTATGATAGAAGAGATAAGTAGAAAAAGGGGCAAAATGCTGTAAATTTAATTGGTAGAATAATCTTCCCATGATAGTAAACAAGTATTTCAAGTTTGAAGTGAATATCTGTGATGGCTTTAGAGAAAACAAGGAAACAAGTATATTTGTTGAATTTATATATCATATGGAACAGAATTACTGCCTGATGACATTGAAACTAACAACATATGTTATTCAATGTTTATGGGGTATTTTTTTCTTGGTGCCTAATGCTGTGTTAGCACATGTTGTTTTTGTTTTATTTGAGCAACTTAAATAACAATAATTGCATTGTTCTTGTGACATGATGGCATTACATGTTGGTAATGAACAAGTACACCAAGTACATGGTCAATAGCTTTGGTAGTTTCTAAGAAAATGGTCCTGAACATTTTACAGGTAGCAGTGATCTTTGACTTTTGACCTCAGAATTGGTGTGACAGGTCTATATATGAAGTTTCAATGATAGAGCTTTATCAATATTGAAGTTAATTTCCATAAACAACAAGAGCTGTCCGTAAGACAGCGCGCTCGACATTTTTATTGCTTGCCAATAAAAAAAGTTTTTGCAGTAATACAAAACATTGACAGTTAAGGGCCATAATTCAAATAAAATCTTTGACAGAATTACCTTCTCCTGGACATGTTTGGGAATCATGATTGTAAACAAGTATTCCAACTTTCAAATTAATATCTCAAACAGTTCAGTCAAAAAGTGGACTGGTACTAAAAACTTAACCAAGATTCTAAGTCGATAAAAGGCCTTAATTTTTAAAACAAATCCTTGACAGAGTTACCTTCTCTTGCGTACAGATGGGGGTAATGATGTGAAATAGCATTAAAAGTTTCAAAGCAATATCTCAAAGGGTTAAGGCAATAAGTGGATTTTACCCATATTCAATGTATTTTCTAAGTCAAAAAAGGGCATAATTCTGTCAAAAACCTTGACAGAGTTATGTCCTCTTGTCTGTTGATGAAGGTCGTGATGGTAAACAAGTATTGGTCAGTTTCAAAGCAATACCTCCAATGGTTTGAAATAAAGTGAGGTGGTACAAAAAACTTAACCAAGCTCAATACACTTTTCTAAGTCAAAAAAGGGCCATAATTCTGTCAAAAACCTTGACAGAGTTATGTACTCTTGTCTGTAGATGGAGGTTATGATGGTGAACAAGTATGGTAAGTTTCAAAGCCATACTTGTAATACTTCTGAAATAAAGTGGGGTGGTACGAAAAACTTAACCAAGGTGTGACGCCAACGCCGACGCCGACGCCGACGCCGGGGCGAGTAGGATAGCTCCCCTTTTCATAGAAAAGTCGAGCTAAAAACTACAGCAAAGGTTGACCAACCACGACCCCTATAAGTGGGTCATGACAATACCTCCATCTTTTTTCTTTTATGGGTGGAGTTAAAATATCTGATTTTTACATGTAAAATAACTAAGTTGAATATGAACGATTGCCAATGGAATATTGCTATTATTTACATGTAGAAGTTGTTTTTACACATAGCTCAAACATATATTTGAAAGAACCTGATTTATTGGGAAACTTCACTAAAATTGCAGATGTCTTGAATTGACAATAGTGAAAATATTAAATAAACATTAAATAATTTTAAAGTTTAAGCATGTATGTTTTTTCAGTAATGGCTAGCCTCTAAACTGCTGGTGACTCTTTTTTGTATATTGAGAATGAAATCCTTAATTAAAACATTAAAATGAAGTGTTCAAAGCAGGGTAAAGTCAATACAATGAAGATAGAAACATTGTACCTGACAGAGTAGGCTCCCTTGTTAAAGTACCAGTTGATTCTGCCCTAAATGTGGCCTCCTCATCTAAACAACTTTGGAGAAAACTTATATCTCTAAGTAATGTTTCAATTTCCTCCACCATTGTGCTCCTGCAAGAAAATGTTGAGATTTTGCATTTAAAAGCACACTTCAAAACCAAGTTCAGATCTAAAAGGTTATTTCTGCACACACGTTTGGGTACATTTAAGAAGGAAGAGCTTTTTTTAAATTCTTTCTCCAACAAAAGGTATCCAATGATATTCAAAGCACTTAAAAGTACTGATGGAAGGTGATTTTCAAATGACTAAAATCATTCATTAACATTATGTTAAGTTTGAGCAATTGAACAGCTATTTTTTGGACTCATTCAATAAAGAGTCTTGACACTAGGACCTTTAACTCTGACCCATACCCTCACTGGTAACTATAAAATGTTACTATACTGTATTGACCAAGGGCACAAACCGGAGATGATCCGGGGTATGATATAGCCGGCAGAGCTACGGTAGAGCCCCGGTGAATGCTGGCAGAGCCCCGGAGGATGCTGGCAGAGCCCCGCAGGATGACGATGGAGCTACGGTTGATCCCGGTAGAGCCCCGGCAAAGCCCGGTTCATTTCAAAAGAATCACGACAATTTGCGATGATTGCACTTGTTTGTATTAATACCCTTCCCATTTCCCTTCTATCCAGTCTTGCATAAGGATTTTTCAGAAAATCATCATGAATTATTATTCCGGAACAATAGTTATTATATTAAATAAAAATTATGTATCAATTTTATCATTTTTGCGCGTTTTCAATCCACCGGGGTTTAACTGGGCTCTGCCTGGATTGACCAGGGCTCAGCCTGGGTCAACCGGGGCTCTTCCGGCGTCATCCGGGAGCGACCGGGAAGCACCGACAGGTACCGTAGCTTCACCTGGGCTCTGCCTGGATGATCCAGAGCGCATCCTGGGTGGTTAGTTGGAAATAACAGTGCTGCCGGGGTTAGTGTGACCCCAACAATAATCTCATCCCGGATCGTCCCGGTAACTTACCGGGATGGTCCTGGGCTCTGCCGGGAGTAAGTGAGACCGCAGCTTTAAATTGAATATCTTTCATAATTTTTAAGAAGTTAACCTTAACAAAAAGGTAAATCAGGGCAAAAAAAAGTCAATGTCAAAAAAGGAGCATAACTTTGCAAATATCTGCCCTTTTAATATTGTATTATATGATGATAGTGAACAGGTAAACCTAGCTTAAAGTGAATCGCTTTAGTAGTTTCCGCGAAAATTGACCTAATGACCATAACCTATTAAAGTGACATTGACCTTTGAACTCAAAATCAGTGTGGCAGGTAGAACTCATCAAGGTGTACCCACATATGAAGTTTCTCTGTTATTGCTTAATTAATATTAAAGTTAATGACTATAATGGAAAAGTAAACCAAAAATGCCCACACTGATGCCCACAAGTGGATCATCACAAATTCTCCACATTTTTTTCCTTCAGAAAATAGAGATAAAATGATTAAATTTTAGTGCAAACCATTCTTATTTTGGGTATACGATAAATAAAAATATTACATTTGTGTAGGTTCATTAGTAATTTTATTGAGCTTGTTGAAGATTATGCTTGCAAGAGGCTTACATCAATTTTTTTAACCTTATTTTATAAATTTTGTATTAAACCAACACTGATTGAATTATCTCTATAGGAATCATTTAAGGTAGTACACCCCTAATGCACTATCTCCACTTTGAAGAGTATTCAAATAGGCTAGAATCACTGTAAAGTGTATTGAAACTGAGGGGCGTGGGTTCAACCCCCAGAAGGGGCAACTTTTTTTTTTTCTTTTTTTTTCTTTTTAACATTTTTTATTAATCTCTCAGATCCCTAATGGAAGAAAAAAATGTTTAATTTTAATTAAAAAAAATTTTGTAGGTATTTATTTACTAAATAATGCCAAATTTAATAGCAAATATGATACCAGATATTTTCAAAGTTTAATAAAATAAAAACTACACGGTAAAAGTATTTTATATTTTGCAAGACCAACCAATATACATTAAAGAAAATTTAGGCAAACTTTGAAAACAGCCCCTAATTGTTGAAAATTTTAGGGATATTTTAAAAAAGGCTTTTTACACATGGAAATGGTCAAATAAGTGTTAAAAGTGGGTGGGGTAGGGTTACATTTTTTTACATATTAAAAACATTTCGTTTAAAAACAATCATTTGGCTTGTTTAATTTGTTACCTAAATGTCATTATTTGTTTCTGAACAATGAGCAATAGAAAAACATTTTTCATAATGATGATATTATAGATTATTTAGAGTTTCCCCATTTCTGAAAAAAGCCCTTCTAATGGCAAAGTTTTAGTTCAGAAAAATGTCCATAACTCATAAACCACACGGTAAATTTTGTTTAAATTTTGCATACAGATGACATTTAAGGCATATAACTGTCCTATGTTGTCAATTTAACAGTTCCTTATAGTGCCCATTAGGGGTGTACTACCTTAACAAGTTAATGATGCATGATCATGTATGGTTACAAAAATAGAACTAACCTTAAATGAGCAAGCACCTCATCAAACTTGAGTACATTAAGCTTTTCATTCATAGCTTCAACTTCTTCACTTAGTATTGATGCTTCAGATGTTCTGAAATGTGAAATCAATAATTAAGTCAACAGATAGTCAAAGTGTTCACGTCTTTAGTTCCTATAACAAATCAATAATTAAGTCAACAGATAGTCAAAGTGTTCACGTCTTTAGTTCCTATAACAAATCAATAATTAAGTCAACAGATAGTCAAAGTGTTCACGTGTTTAGTGCCTATAACAAATCAATAATTAAGTCAACAGATAGTCAAAGTGTTCACGTGTTTAGTGCCTATAACAAATCAATAATTAAGTCAACAGATAGTCAAAGTGTTCACGTGTTTAGTCCCTATAACAAATCAATAATTAAGTCAACAGATAGTCAAAGTGTTCACGTCTTTAGTTCCTATTACAAATCAATAATTAAGTCAACAGATAGTCAAAGTGTTCACGTCTTTAGTTCCTATTACAAATCAATAATTAAGTCAACAGATAGTCAAAGTGTTCACGTCTTTAGTTCCTATTACAAATCAATAATTAAGTCAACAGATAGTCAAAGTGTTCACGTCTTTAGTTCCTATTACAAATCAATAATTAAGTCAACAGATAGTCAAAGTGTTCACGTCTTTAGTCCCTATAACAAATCAATAATTAAGTCAACAGATAGTCATAGTGTTCACGTGTTTAGTCCCTATAACAAATCAATAATTAAGTCAACAGATAGTCAAAGTGTTCACATGTTTAGTCCCTATAACAAATCAATAATTAAGTCAACAGATAGTCAAAGTGTTCACGTGTTTAGTCCCTATAACAAATCAATAATTAAGTCAACAGATAGTCAAAGTGTTCACGTGTTTAGTCCCTATAACAAATCAATAATTAAGTCAACAGATAGTCAAAGTGTTCACGTGTTTAGTCCCTATAACAAATCAATAATTAAGTCAACAGATAGTCAAAGTGTTCACGTCTTTAGTTCCTATAACAAATCAATAATTAAGTCAACAGATAGTCAAAGTGTTCACGTCTTTAGTTCCTATTACAAATCAATAATTAAGTCAACAGATAGTCAAAGTGTTCAAGTGTTTAGTCCCTATAACAAGGAGAATTTCATAATGGGGATGTCCAATTTACATTCTGAAATAGTTCATCACTAACTTCAGATACATAACCATGAAAATAAGTTAGTTATTCAGGCAAAAATATAGTCAGACTGCATAGATGTGCAAGCTGGCCTCATTTTATATTATAACCCCTCACTTTTTGTTATATAATTTCCAATAAGCCAATGGGAGATACTGTTTATACAAGTGTGGCATGGGACTAAGAAATATTTAAATACATGTTGTACACAGCACTGAGGACCTAATAGAGTCATAGTGACCAGTCAGCCAACAATCATTTAATGGAACAAAGATAAAGGCTAATGTATGTCCAATATGTGAAGCTCACTGGGAAGTCACTATTATGTTATATGAGATGTGAAGAACTGTGTGATATTCCTAACATACCTCAATTTACTATAAAATGATGAAAAAAGTTTAACAAGGAAGGAAATTTTAATGTTAACCCTTTAACTGCCATAGGGGCGGCGTATTTGCCATATGGACTGCTTTTTCCGTTTCTACAATAATAATAATAATTATAATAATAATAATTATAATAATAATAAATATATAGATAATTATACCATAGACAATAATCATTATATACTAGCAGATTTGGAAACATATATAATTATTATAATATTAACAAGAGCTGTCGGTAGGACAGCAACGCTCGACTATTCTTAGTGCTTGAAAGTAAAAAAAAATGCTTGATACAGTTAACTCCTCCTGTTTACAGGTTGGGGTCATGATGGTGAACAAGTGTGCAAAGTTTCAAAGCCATATGTCAATGGACTTTGAAAATATTTGAACTATTACAAAAACTTTAACGTAAATTTTAAGTCGAAAAAGGGGCATAATTCTGTCAAAATGCTTGATAGAGTTACCTCCTCCTGTTTACAGGTTGGGGTGAACAAGTGTGCAAAGTTTCAAAGCCATATGTCAATGGACTTTGAAAATATTTGAACTATTACAAAAACTTTAACGCCAAATGTCAATAAATTTTGAAAATATTTGAGGTATTACAAAAACTTTAAAGTAAATTCTAAGTCGAAAAAGGGGCATAATTCTGTCAAAATGCTTGATAGAGTTACCTCCTCCTGCCTACAGGTTGGGGTCATGATGGTGAACAAGTGTGCAAAGTTTCAAAGCCATATGTCAATGGACTTTGAAAATATTTGAACTATTACAAAAACTTTAACATAAGTGGTTACGCCGACGCCGACGCTCGGGTGACTACAATAGCTCTACTTATTCTTATCGAATAGTCGAGCTAAAAACAATAGCTCCTTATGCTGAAAAAAATAGCAAGACTTAGTTAAATTTTCTACATTGTTGTGATTTATCATTTAATCCTTTCTACAGTCCTTCACACAGTACCGCTGCTCTGGCATGAACAGAAGTTTCAGTTCCTTGCAAAAGTGAAGGTAACTAGTACTGGTTAACTGCTCGGCAGCATGCCCAGGAACGATACTGTGGCTGAGCTGTGCTCTGGTAAATTCAATTTTGCTTACTGCCATGAATCTGGAGGGTAAACTACAAACACCATCACTTGTCAGTCATTTGTCTGCAACATCCAGAGAAAACAAATATGTGAACAAATGTATGCCTGACATCAATAAAATACCTGTCACTACATGTAGGACTACAAATCATGGGAGTTTCCCTTCCGTCATTACCTCGGGCAGTCATTTTTGAGGAGGGTCTTGAACTATCATCACCTGAAAATAAACAAGATTGCTAATTGATGTTAACAATACACTGTGCTGCCAATACATATCCTAACTACAGTGATTCTGCTTAGCCAGTAATATACCATTGAAAAATTTATCTAGTAAAACATATTGAAGTACATTGTAGTTAAATCTTGCTATTTTTTTAGCATAAGGAGCAATGTTTATTTAGCAAATTATTATAAAATAAATGTTGAGTGATTTTTCTTTATCCTTTTGAATGTTTAAGACTTACTTGTAAAATAAAACAGAATAGAATTTTATCTACTTTTTTTTTGCCAAAAGGTATGTTTTTCTCCAATTGAGAAGCAAATGATTTCCAGTCTGCAATATTGTTGTTATTGTAGAAATTATTTGTACAAGAAAACATAAATATTAAGGCTATTTATAGTAACTTGTCTTTTTGGTTACAATGTATGTATTCAGTACTTTCTATAAGTTCCTGTAAAATTCCTAATTTGGATGTATCACTAGGTTTTTCCTAATGTCCAACAGTGCTGGTGACATTCACAACCTGTTGAATAAAAGGCGTGAATGTATACTGGAATTATGATACTTACGATAAGTGTCTAATGCATAGTCAAGAATGTCAGTGTTATGTCTGGATAATATCTTATCTGCATTTCTGAAAGTAAAAAATAAAATAATAACTCATCTAAACAAACTAATGCTTTAATTTCAACCTATTCATTGCAAAATAACAATAATTTAGTCAGTGTATCCTACATATATTTCACCTTTCAAAAAAGCCTAAGATTTACACAGATCAATAATTATATAGGAATTAGGAACTATTAAGATGTTTCCCCTCTAAATTCTTAAATCAATAATTATAACCACAACTGATTAAGATTGCAATTTTTGTCCCACAATTTCGGGGGAAAAAACAAGAAGATAACATTATAATCAAGTGAAAATTATGGCCCAAGGTCAGGAATAAAAGCAGACAACTTTTCTTACTCCCAACAAACTTTCTTAAAGTTATGACTAATAATATCTGTCATATGTTGCGGTTCAGATCGGAATATCCGTCCCGAGGGGACCTCGCCCATTGGGCTGTAACAAGGCTTGCCGAGGTACCGCCCATGGGCGGGTTCCTGAGGGACAGATATTCCGATCCAAACCGCAAACATATGTCAGATATTTTTTCTTGCATATTCTGCCATATTATTTCATATTCAAAATGGCTTACCTCAATTAGATATTTGTTCATGGAAATTATTGTCATTTCATCCATAACTATTTTCTTACAATAGCGTAAGGCTGTCATTGATTGTTGCGATATCGATATATAGATTTAGTTAATATACCTCTTTATTTTGGCTTATAAGAGAAGTCACTTTTTTTTAGTTATCTCTGTTAACTTGACCTTTAAACTCCGTTTTTAAATGTCAGTGACAAGAATAACAGAAAAAAAAACTTTCTGCTAATTTGTAGTATTTATAATGTGTAAACAAGCATGCATAATACAATGATTCCAATCTATGACACATACATGTATATGAATGTTTTTCATTGTATCTACTGTCAAAGTCGATATATTGATGTATCGTCGATATTTGTCTCTTGATATATCGATACAAAATTTTCAATCAATGACAACCCTACAATAGCGTATGTATTTACAACTTTAACAACAACCGCGAAATGACATCATCCTAAGCACATAGTCCCCTTTTAAAATGACATTGTTGTATGGCATGCGAATCATCTGGCACCCCCCCCATGCCAGATGAAATTTCCGGCATGGGTAAAACTAACGGAAACACCGGTCTGCTATTCAAGAAAATACAAGTACATGTACATACAGATGCTTTAACTTTGAGAACCACCACAAATTTGTTTGAGAGTACATTAGTTGAAGTTTGATCATGTACAGTGAAAGTTTGAGAAAACCAGACGGCTTTCTGACTGATTGTTTTGTCAGTTTTTCTCAGCGGCCCGGTTTTCTCAATGTACCCTCCACGATCATATGTATTGCCCAATGACTTACCATGGATGCCTGTTTATTTGCATTTTCATAATCAAATGTACATATATTGCTAAATAAAGAAATGATGAAATACAAAAGCACGTTTTATTTATTTTTGTCACATTATTGCGTCTAAATACAATAGAATTTTGGATTTGCAATTTGATTTTTACTCAAAAAACCTGTTTATTTACAAAATTACACTGTCTTTAATTAATTTATCTTTGTCACTTATAGACAGCCCCCATTGAATTCTTTTTGTCGATGGAATAGAATTTGGCGCCGATAAATGTCTTTTCCATAGCGTTGATATTTTGAAAACGAAAATACAGAAGCAACGCAGTATAAAAATTCTCTATTTTTTTATTTATACTGATTTTACTTTACCAATTCCTCAATTTTGACATTAATATAAAACGGTAACATCCATGCTTTACAACAAACCAAACTGTGAAAAGAGACATAATAAACTAAATCAGACAATCATTGCTTCGTTACCGCTCAGTTAACGTTTTAGACAAAATCAATTGACAAGTTGACAAGGTGTGAATAACCCATCTGACACAGGGTTATTCACACTTTTGCCATCGGGTATTGTCAGAGTAATATTCTACATAAATGACTTCATAGCCGACCCTATCAACTGTTCCGTTTCAGTTTTTACAGATTCCGGTATTGTCAATGCAATAGACTAATGAAGGAAAAATCTTGGACTAAATTAATCGTCTGGTATTTAGAGAGTTCCGATATTCTCGGTTTTCTCAACTTTCACTGTATAATTGTTCTTCCTTGGGGACACAGGAGTGAAGGTAATCTTAGTAACATGTTGTTTATGTTCCATTTTCTCTTCGTTAAAAAGGACTTAACTGCATGTATATTTTATATCTACTTTTTACATGTATTGTAATGATTGTTTAAAAACACATGTACATTGTTAATGTAATAGCTAACAATATTTAACTTACACTCCTTGATATTTTGCTTTTTCTTTAACACTGTCAACAAAGAACTGTATTTCTTGAATGAGCCGATCTCTGAGACCAGGGGGTTCAGGAAGTTTACACACAGGTTTACTTTGCTCAGTTTCTTCTCTATAATCCCTCCATATCTCTAACAAAGTCTCAATCTACAATATCAACACACAATATTCATATTTTAAAATGTTTTTTTTTTTGGCTTAGAAGAAGACCAATATTAACATATGCTGTGAACCAAATTTTTTAACATGTAATAGTTCTATCTTAGATTTATTAAATAATGACAGACTTAATATTAATTCATGTCAACATAAGTTAGTGTATATGTCAAATTTCAAACTGATGCTGTATGAGGAGTATTCCAGATTGTATATTAAAACTTTTCTTTTTCTCTCATAATTGAAGGGAATCAAAAACAAATCAGAGGTCAACTTTTCATCAACATTAACATATTGAAAACACATGAAATATTTTATGATATATTATCAATCAAATATTAACAGGTCATACCACAAAGCACCCTATAAGTGTTCAAAGGAAACTATTTTATAATATCTAAAAACCAAAGATGCTTTAAACCAAGAAGAGAAATGAAATATAAATAAAAGCACCTCTTGGTGAAGTTCTTGACTTTGGTCAATCAGTGATTCTCCCAACATGCTTTTGATTTCCTCCCTCTCGTGATCAGGTACATATTGCTTCACTAATTTCCATAGTGATATTGGAGGCTGGTATGCTTGAAGATCGAAAGGAGGTGAATCCATTGTTTGAACCATTCTTCTTGTCTTACTTACTTGAGAACAGATGTTTTCAACTCATTTCTTCTTCATTTATCACATCTAATGATTTATATTGCCTGTAATAAAGAAACATATCATGTTAAACAAAAACTGATGACAATAAATGCAGGGTGACCTACTGTTAGCTAATATTTCAGTATCACTTTTATTTCACCATCATACATTTGTAATTCAAATTTAACCATATTTAAATAATAACAACAAGACTGCATTTGAGAACAAGAGCTGTCCGTAAGACAGCGCGCTCGACTTTTTTATTGCTTGCCAATAAAAAAAGTTTTTGCAGTAAAAGGCAATACAAGAATCTCTGTATTTTTAAAGTGAACAATGGCCATGAGCATTAAGATATTTAGTGAAGAATTATTTTACTGAATTGTGTGATACCCTTGAACACTGCAGCAAAGTTTGAAATGTTTAAGTCAAAAGAGGGCTGGTAAGAAAGAAAAAAAAACTGAGTTGAGCCTATGTGTTCTGTCCGTAGCTGGTCACTTGTCCACCAATCAAATAGGCGAGATAAAATGTGAAATATGCATATACTACTGATTTTAATTTCAAGTACAAAAAGAGAAAAAATAACTAGTTGTTTGATACCCTTGAATATTACAGCAATGTTTATATGACATAATTTATGGTAAAGTGAACAAGTGGATAGGAATGAATTTTTTTAGATTTTTTAAGTTTTTTAGTGCTTGCCTATAATACAAAACATTGACAGTTAAGGGCCATAATTCAAATAAAATCTTTGACAGAATTACCTTCTCCTGGACATGTTTGGGAATCATGATTGTAAACAAGTATTCCAACTTTCAAATTAATATCTCAAACAGTTCAGTCAAAAAGTGGACTGGTACTAAAAACTTAACCAAGATTCTAAGTCGATAAAAGGCCTTAATTTTTAAAACAAATCCTTGACAGAGTTACCTTCTCTTGCGTACAGATGGGGGTAATGATGTGAAATAGCATTAAAAGTTTCAAAGCAATATCTCAAAGGGTTAAGGCAATAAGTGGATTTTACCCATATTCAATGTATTTTCTAAGTCAAAAAGGGGCATAATTCTGTCAAAAAACCTTGACAGAGTTATGTCCTCTTGTCTGTTGATGAAGGTCGTGATGGTAAACAAGTATGGTCAGTTTCAAAGCAATACCTCCAATGGTTTTGAAATAAAGTGAGGTGGTACAAAAAACTTAACCAAGCTCAATACACTTTCTAAGTCAAAAAAGGGCCATAATTCTGTCAAAAACCTTGACAGAGTTATGTACTCTTGTCTGTAGATGGAGGTTATGATGGTGAACAAGTATGGTAAGTTTCAAAGCCATACTTGTAATACTTCTGAAATAAAGTGGGGTGGTACGAAAAACTTAACCAAGGTGTGACGCCAACGCCGACGCCGACGCCGACGCCGGGGCGAGTAGGATAGCTCCCCTTTTCATAGAAAAGTCGAGCTAAAAATGCTATGCCACCGCATTAATACAACACTAAATAGTAGTGTAGGAACAGATTTTTTTGGTTTCTATACAATTTTGAAGATTGTCATAATGCATAGATGCCTGGCCTATCTGATTCCTATTATCAGATTTAATTCAAAACAATCTTGATACAGGTCCACCAAACAATTATAATTTGAACAATCTTGGTAAAGGTTCCATATAAGGAAAACCTATAGCCCCAAGGGCGTGGCTAATTTTGACACTAGAGGCAAAATTTGAACAACTTTCGTAGAGTACCTATAGATGAAATCATTTAACAAATATTAAAGCTCTAAGCCTTGTACTTTCAGACAATAAGATTTTTGATTTTTTACTATATGTATATATTGAAAATCAATGACCCCCGAGGTGGGGGCAAATTTGACCCAAGAGCTATAATTTGACCAATCTTGCTAGAAGTTCACTTCACAATGTTTCATGCAAAATATCTAACCTCTAGCATTTGTCAGTTGCTAGAAGAAATTTTTTAAAGTTTTTACTATATACATATAAGGAAAACCAATGACCCCCGGGGCGGGGCCGATTTTGACCCCAGGGCTATAATTTTAACAATCTGGGTAGAAGTCTACCTGACAATGCCTTATGCAAAATATCTAAGCTCTAGGCCTTTTGGGTCTTTACAAGAAGGTATTTTAAGTTTTTACTATATGTACATATAGTGAAAATCAATGAGCCCCAGGGCGGGGCCAATTTTGACCCCAAGGCTATAATTTGAACAATCTTGGTAGAGGTCTACCAGACAATGCCTTATGCAAAATATCTAAGCTCTAGGCCTTTTGGGTCTTTACAAGAAGATTTTTTAAATTTATTCTTATAATACCTTTTGGTTGCCATGGCAACCAGATTTCTGCATGGAATGAAATTCTTTGAACAACTTTGGAAGCCCTTCACCCAAGGATCAATCCTGCCAAGTTTGGTTGAAATTGGACTAGTGGTTTTTCACAAGAAGATTTTTTAAGTTCACTATATAATCTATATAACACACACACACACACAAACAAACACACACACAGGTGAATCGCTATATGCCACCGCATCGCAGATGCTGCGGTGGCATAAAAATATCGCTGAATGTGATGAATGCTCCCCAATCCTGCACATCTGTAAAATTTATGTATTCAATTTCAATGCACATTTGTCAATTTATTCAAAGCATTTGCAGTGATTTTTGTCTAATTTTCAAAACAACCTGTGGCTTTCTGAAGGGGAAAATATAGCATGATAAATCAGAAAAGGGGAAAATCAAATTCCAACAACTGAGAATAGAATTTACCCACACATTTTATAAAATTTTCAATTCAATTTAACATGCATGGTACAAAGCAGAAGCTATACTGGGCTCCTACATATAACTGGACAAAATATGTTGTTTTTTCGCTATAACTTTTATTTAAAACAATAGAAAAGGATGGAATTTTACCCAAATAATTTTGGGTTATTACTACAAGTAAACATTACTTTAACAAACATGAAATTAAAGATTTGACCATAGAGATTTGTCTTTAAAGTAGGGCATTATAAGAGAGAAAAAATTGTGTAGACAGCTAAATTTACCGGACATTGTGTTTTAAAATTTTTTGAAGTCGTGAATTGAAATTAATCTTTAAAAAAACAGCAAGGAAACTACGACTATTGTTAGGCAAGGTAAAGATATTGGAAAAACCTGAGTATGTCACTAAAACTAGACACAGCAGCTATGCTTGTTACGAAGAGGCCAATTTATGGGGTGTAATTGAAATTAACAATATTTACTCAATAAACGTATTGATTCTTCATGAATCTTAAACGTATGAAACAATTTGATATTCAAATGGAATTCTGTTCTTTGTCATACAGTTTCCTTTTGTTCATCATGTAGCATGTTACAAGTCATTAAATCTACATAAAAAAATTGTATTTTATATACATTTCACACAGAGTTTCCTCCCATGGGCGTAACCTGTTTCCTTATATAGCTTTTAACTTACATTTCTTTGTAAACGACAACAGCGAGATACTGTTTGGAGTCTTTGGACTAAATTTAAAATCATTTTTAATCATTAAAATATGTTATGATTGTCTCCTGAGATAATGTTGAGAAGAATTAAAATTAAAACCATCTTAAATAACCCATCAATAGCCTCAATATTCGGGTATGCGCAGAACAGATTATTCCCCCGCATGACCAGGTCGTGACATAACTAGTAAACAAAAGGACATATTAGTAAATAAAGAACTGAATCAACAATATTTTCTGAGGGTGGTTTTGTTGTTATTTACTTTGAAAATGAAAGTGTGTGTATGATTCAGACTGGATGATTTTTGAATCGAAGCAAAAAATAAAGCACTATTCTGCAGGAATAGATATTGTCTGGTAAATATGAAGGATCCCAGAAGGAACAACTTTCTGTCTTTTAGCTGACCTATGATAAGTCAGGTGCTGTTGAGTCATGTTTCTGGTGAAGAAGTGCACAGGGCATTTCAGGGGAAAATATTGGCTTTTTTAGGGGAAAATATACCTATTTTCATTTGAGCTAGGGGAAACAGCCTTCATTCAGCTGTAAAATACAGTAAAAAGTCACTGATAATGAATTATCAGTTTTCAATCAGAAAAAATAACAAAAGAAAATTTTAGTCATATGAATATATATTTTTAGGCAATTGAGAGATCACATGAATCAAATTCATACATAACATTCACCACATATATAAGTCATCTATTTCATATACAAGTGATCATAGACAAATTCATACAAACATTGTATGAGAACACACTTATATTATGCATTTAAAACATTTATAACTCACATCATAACTTGTTTGAATGTCTATTTGTGAGCATAATGATTACTACAAGAGTAATATTTACCATAAAGCAATATCTAAATTTTAATAAAATACATATATTAATCAATATAATATATAATATAATATTAACTATCAACATATTAATTGGGTGGGAAGGGTGGGAAAATTTTTCAATTATCAAAACATGTGATCTCTAAGTCGACGAAATACAGAATTACCAAAATGCCCAGGAAACAAATGGTCATGAATATTTACCGCCAAAAACAGAAGCGACCAATAAAAAGATGTTTATTGCTGACGTAAATCTACCGCCAAAAACAGAAACGACCAATAAAAAGATGTTTATTGCTGACGTAAACCATAAACAAAATTGACTCATGAAAAAACACTGAAAAGGTCAACTTCATTCAACCTAATAATTAAGTTATTTTTAAAACAAAATAATCTAAATTATCAGTTTTCAATCAGAAAAAATAACAAAAGAAAATTTTAGTCATATGAATATATATTTTTAGGCAATTGAGAGATCACATGAATCAAATTCATACATAACATTCACCACATATATAAGTCATCTATTTCATATACAAATGATCATAGACAAATTCATACAAACATTGTATGAGAACACACTTATATTATGCATTTAAAACATTTATAACTCACATCATAACTTGTTTGAATGTCTATTTGTGAGCATAATGATTACTACAAGAGTAATATTTACCATAAAGCCAAACCCACGGCCAAAATAACAAACAAGTAAGCAAGAGCATATAAATACACTTAACAAACAATGAACAAAACCTACTAAGAGGCTTTCTTATTACCTCCTTAGTAGTATAACCTTCAAGACTAGCCGTCGCCAGCTTGCAAGATAGTCTTTCCTGAGAAACAGTGTACATTGTATCTCAGGCAAAGACAAAGAACATAATTTAATAGTAAAGAAATTCAAATCATTATAAGATTCAATGCAACAACTGAATCAGAAACAAATTAACAAATCATCACTAAAATGAGCAGTATTAAAATTTTTCAATTATCAAAACATGTGATCTCTAAGTCGACGAAATACAGAATGACCAAAATGCCCAGGAAACAAATGGTCATGAATATTTACCGCCAAAAACAGAAGCGACCAATAAAAAGATGTTTATTGCTGACGTAAATCTACCGCCAAAAACAGAAGCGACCAATAAAAAGATGTTTATTGCTGACGTAAACCATAAACAAAATTGACTAATGAAAAAACACTGAAAAGGTCAACTTCATTCAACCTAATAATTAAGTTATTTTTAAAACAAAATAATCTAATTTATCAATGTATTCAATGCACACAAATTGTCAATGTATTCAATGCACGTCAGTCACTTAAGGCTGAAAGAGTAAACCTTTAAAGTGTAGAATTTATTTTTAGCATGAATGAGCAGGACCTAAGTTATGCCGCTCTCCAATAAGTCAAACTATATGAACAGATGATATGTCAGTATATGGGTTAATAACGTGTTTCAATTGACAGTGTAAAAACAATCATGGGACATAGAAGTCAAATATGAAGATTCTATAAATATAGTTTTTTTACCAGGAATGTATTCATTATTCACAAGATTAATTTTATTGGCAGAAGCTGTGCAACTTAGTGTGACAGTTTAGTTTAGTAGCATCGACATGTGTTGCTTTTACTAGCAATCTCAGACAATGTAAATATGGTGATATCATAGAACCTACAAATGTATGATATCATAGGAATTGAGTAATTACTACCTAGTCACCTACAAATTGCTTTGGCAGTAAAACCAGTCAGTGTTCCCAGTGTCATACACTTTTTAAAGAAAAAAGAAGAATTTTATAGCTCAAAATTCTTCTTATAATTGATATCCTGTGGAAAACCGGATAAACTGACTCTAATTCTCTGGTCTTTAGTAAAATGTTCGTTAAACCAGTCACATAGACAAACTTACCACACCATTACAGTGGCAGTTCAATTACCCAAAATACATAAAATAACATCTATACATCAAAATCAATCCCGCCAGAAAGATTTATCCGAGAACTATTTTACTTTTAGCCAAATTTTGTTATTTGTTTACATTGTTGTTATGAAAACAGAGAGGAAATATTTGAAAATTTCAAGTAGATCTGATCTATGTCGGTTATTTACCCACATTATAAAACATGAAATAAAATTTACACACATGTGTTTTATATTCACTTACAATCCTAACGATTTTTTACTGGAACGCTGAGGAAACAAGAATATCTGGATTTCTAAATTTAAATAACCTTGTTCAAACATGCGGTGCGTGTATACATTTAGTATCGTCAATCTAGTCCTGATGAGACAGAGGTCCTCTAATTGACGGTCTCCGGTCTCCGTTTACGGACAGTTTAGGGACCGGAGACTGGACATTGAACAGTGCACGTAATGTACGAAAGAAATATTTTAGGGGCCAATATTGCAAAAAGAATTAGCATTTTTAGAAATTCGTTATCCAAGTTGCTGACTGGATATACCTTGATGACATTTTTAATTAAACCTTTGCTAATTTTTAATCAAACCTTTACAGTAAAGATACTGTACATGCAATGCTCCATTTTTCATGCAAAGACAGATGTCCAGTCCTATTAATAATAATTAAGGGTACTGACACAGAAATTTAACAAAACAGACAGAACAGAACTAAAGTTTTATTTCTTGGCATAAAAAGCTCATCACCATATTACATATACAAATACAGCATATAATACATAAAATTAATGGCACATGACATGAACATATATAATTGCAAAAAAAATGGTTTATGTCAATTATGAAATGTGAGAATGTTTAATGAGATAAGATTTTACTTAAAAAGCATATGAACATGTTTTGCTGTGAAAATGTTTTGTTGTTGGGAGTTATTAATATCAAGTAGACTTCACAAATTAGTGATATAACACAAACACGTGTATACTCTACAAGATGTAACTTTATTCTCCTAAAATTCCAAACATCGGGGTACTAGCTAGACATGTTATTGAGCATGCGCAATGTGCATATATTTTAAACTACCTAATCAGCTGATATTACAACAGAATACATATATATACAAGAATTAACGTAAATTAAGTAATAGTTATAGTACTTGAAACGTGTTAGTTACGAGGATATAACACTGGCTGGGGCGACATCAATTGAGGGGTGTTTCTGCCAAAAAAAAAAATGGCGAGGCCGTGAGGCCGAGACAATTTTTTTTCCAGAAACATCCCGAGATGTCGCCCAGCCAGTGTTATACCCCCGTAACTAACGAGTTTCATATACTATAACTGTTTTATCGCAATGACATGTTTTCTTTTTTTGTAATAGAAACAAATAAATAAATAAATCGTTAGCTACATTTATGATAAGGCAGTTTTTCAAGTTGTTTTCGCTGCCGCAAAAAAAAATATATATACTAAAGACATCCAATGTTAGAGGCGGATTGTAAACTGTCAAGATTAAAGGGCTTTTTTTTTCAGTGGAAATAATTCATTCAGCGGATGTACCTTTTGATTAAATGAGAGTAAATTTCATTTCAATAATTATCTTTGTTTATATTTTTCATTGTATTTATATATTTATTTTATTTTATTTTATTGATTCCCCCCTTTTTTTTTTGCTACTGGGAATGGTCGTTACCACTGCCCCATTGGCTACGAAAAAAAAAACTGCATTGATATATACAAAGTGCGAAAAAACTCGACCGATATATAACAGTCGAGTTTTTTTCCTATATGAATAGTTATAGTACTTGAAACGTGTTTGTTACGAGGATATAACACTGGCTGGGGCGACATCAATTGAGGGGTGTTTTCAAGTTGTTTTCATATCAATACAGTTTTCAAATGCTCATTGAAGTGTACTGAGTATAATGGGTTAGTAAGAACAAAGGAAAAGTTCCAAACCATGCGATAACTATACAAACAGTCAATCGCAACTACTCGGCCCTTTCCGTCAGTCTTCGGATACAATAGTATGAATACACAGAACGGATGCGGTATTTCGGTCTAACCTACGCTAAGAAACTGAACATGTAAACAAATAGTAATTTAATGCTGGGAGCTGTTGACAAGTTTCTTTCCAATATATGTAGTAAAAGTCCACCTAAAATAAGTGAATTCATAGGTACAAAAGCAAACAATACATTACTTATATATTTATTATTATGATTGTAGAAACCGAAAGTTCAAAAAACCAACCTGTTGACATTTTAGTCGGATTTGTATCAGTGGGCCCATACTTAAATTACAAATTGTTGTCAGACATATTTTCAAGCATAAGAGTACCGTGACACACATTAGATGTCAACTATATACATTCGTTTTACATTATCTCTGTTTCTGTTTACGTCTGAAACCACGTGGGAGAACTACTTTCAATCCGTATTGTTTCCCAGGTTATTATAGATAATAGCCGAGGCAGTTCCGAATGATAAACAGTAATATTTTTTTATATAAAAAAAGAACTAAGAAAAGAAATAAAGGTGTTGTCGAAGAGACAGCCTAAGGAATTAAAGCAGCATGACCCCAGATTCATGCTAGTTTTCATGAAAATTTCGAAAATGCATTAAAAAGTAAAACATTATGAACTGAATAAAGAAAGAAGTTAACACATTGCAAACGGCACTTAAAATCCACGCAAAATATCAAAAAGGGTCAAAATATGTAAAATAGCCCTTACTGCGTTTGTCACGCAATAGGTAGGGCTAATATGGTGATAAATACTGCAAAATCAGTCACAAATCACACTTCACATAAAAAATATAACTTGAATATTTTTCCTTTTCTTTAAATCTTAGTAAATCTTTCTCAAGTTTGATTTTTCTTGAAATAGAATTATTTATCTAGAGTCTAGGAGCTTTAAAGGTCATGCTGCAACTTTCCAGCTTTAATTAAATTACTGGTGTATAAAACCGCATGTGCGGCCCCTTCGTGCACTATTTCAGGATACCTGAATAGAACCGTATAAGCTTACTGAATATATAGATTGACATCATTTGAAATAATTTAAGCTTAATGGATAATTCTAGGGTAACATAAAACATAGGCCTATTAATTAATTTTATGATTATATTATTGTTGTTTGTTTTTAGCTCACCTGAGCTAGCTCAGGGTGAGCTTTTAGGATCGTTGAATGACCGTCGTCCGTCGTCCGTCGTCTGTCGTCCGTCGTTCGTCCACACTTGTTCGTTAACACTCTGGTGGTCACATGTTTGCCTCAATCATCATCAAACTTGGTCAGGATGCTTATCTAGTTGATAGCTCGGATGAGTACGAACATGGGTCATCTCGGATGAAAAACTAGGTCACAGGAGCTAAAAATAGTAAAAAAACATTGTCAACACTCTAGCGGTCACATTTTTGCCTCAATCATCATCAAACTTGGTCAGGATGCTTGTGAGGGTGATAGCTCGGGGAGTTCGAACATAAGTCATCTCGGATTAAAAACTAGGTCACAGGAGCTAAAAATAGAAAAACCTTGTTAACACTCAAGTGGTTACATTTTTGTCTCAATGATCATCAAAAGTGGTCAGGATGCTTGTTTAGATGATAGCTCGAATGAATTTAAACATGGGTCATCTCGGATGAAAACCTAGGTCACCGGAGCTAAAAATAGAAAAACCTTGTCAACACTCTAGCGGTTACATTTTTGACTTAATCATCATTAAACTTTGTCAGGATGCTTGACTAGGTGATAGCTCGGACGAGTTCGAACATGGGTCATCTCGGATGAAAAACTAGGTCACAGCAGCTAAAAATAGAAAAAATTTGTTAACACTCTAGTGGCTACTGTTTTGATCCAAATATCCTGTAAATTGGTCTGACAGTTTGTTTCGATGATTTCTAGGCCAAGTTCGAATATAGGTCACCTGGGGTCAAAAACTAGGTCACACCGCCCAAATGTTGAAAAACCTTGTTAACACTCTAGTGGTCACATTTTTTTACTCAATTATCATTTAACTTGGTCAGGATGCTTGTCTAGGTCATTGCTCGGATGACTTCGAACATGGGTCATCTCGCATAAAAAACTAGGTCACAGGAGCTAAAAATAGAAAAATCTTGTTAACACTCTAGTGGTCACATTTTTTTACTCAATTATCATTTAACTTGGTCAGGATGCTTGTCAATGTCATTGCTCGGATGACTTCGAACATGGGTCATCTCGCATGAAAAACTAGGTCACAGGAGCTAAAAATAGAAAAATCTTGTTCACACTCTAGTGGCTACTATTTTGATCCAAGTATCCTGGAAATTGGTCTGAAAGTTTGTTTTGGTGATTTCTAGGTCAAGTTCGAATATGGGTCACCTGGGTAAAAAACTAGGTCACACTGCTCAAATATGGATAATCCCTGTTAACACTCTAGTGGTCACATTTTTGACTCACCTGTCATGAAACTTGGCCAGAATGCTTGTCTAGATAATTGTTCGGATGAGTTCGATGGGACAGGTGAGCGATCTAGGGCCATCATTGCCCTCTTGTTTGTTTGTTTTATATGCATAATGATATATATGACCAATAACACACACACGCACGCACGCACGCTTGCGCACGCACGTGCATTCCCATGCACGTACGCACTCGCGAGAAAATGGGCACTGTATTCATTTAGGTACCGATATTCTTTTTTGAAAATTAAAATGACTTAACTGAGGTTCATGGAGTTTTTTTTTATTTGTACACCAATTTATTTAGGTCTGGACAAATGAATTGTGTGCAAAATTGCAGATCGATTTTCAAGAATAATTATTAATTGAACGTGGAAACTGATCCAAAATGAAAAAACGTAAATCAAATAATATTCATGTTTACTTAAGAAAGAAAATATTGAATCGGACATTCATTTCGGTAGATATAGGTGGTATAAGTAAAGAAAAAAAGAACTTTGTGATATTTATCATGAAATATTTAACTTTACTTTAGTTTAGTTGATTTTTATTTTCCGTGAATATCACATTACGTGCAATGTGACGTACGTATACAATATTAAACTACCCGTATATAATATCTAAATTAAGCCTAATCAAATGTTTATAATACAGCATTTGATACATCCTAACTCGCTCACCAATGTCTTAGAATCTCTAGACTTTATGATCTTATATGAAAAAAAATGCAATAAATTATTTTTTGTGATGTCTTTTTTGTGGTACGTCACCATTTTTTACGTATATCAAACATTATGAGCACTTCTTACTGTAGATTTTGTGCAAGAAGGATTTGGCTACAATCGATTTCGCTTAATGAGTATACGATTAAACTGTGTGGAACAAAAGAACGTAATAAATTTCATGTATGAACACTTACATATACATAGTACAAAGCCTGTCTAATAGA